GCCTCCTGAGTAGCTGGGATTACAGGTGCCTGCCACCACGCCCAGCTAATTTTTTATATTTTTAGTAGAGATGGGGTTTCACCATGTTGGTCAGGGCTGGTCTGGAACTCCTGACCTCAGGTGATCCACCCACTTTGGCCTCCCAAGGGCTGGGATTACAGGTGTGAGCCACTGCACCCGGCCAAGAAGTTCTTTTTGAGGACTGAAACCCTAGACACTCAAACCAGAGGTCTCTCTCTCCTCCACCCACTCCCACCATCGTACCCTGGACCTCAACAGGGTTTATGCTTGGTGAGAGGCTGCTAGATGTTCAGAGACACTGGATTCCAGGACATGTCTGTGATGAGGAAAAAAACAAGACCAAGAGCAAGATGCTAAAGATAAACTTTATTTTTCTCTATCCTTCCTAAGGATGAGTCCAGCAGCCAGGTCCTGGGTGACTTTGTCCATTTAGGCACATAAAAAATGTACCAACATAGAAATGTTCACACACTACTTTTTTTTTTTTTTTTTTTTGAGATGGAGTTTTGCTCTTGTTGCCCAGGCTGGAGTACAATGGCACGACCTCAGCTCACTGCAACCTCCGCCTCCCGAGTTCAAGCAATTCTCCTGCCTCAGCCTCCTGAGTAGCGGGGATTACAGGCATGCACCACCAAGCCCAGCTAATTTTTTGTGTTTTTAGTAGAGACAGGGTTTCACTGTGTTAATCAGGCTGGTCTCAACCTCCTGACCTCGTGATCCGCCCACCTTGGCCTCCCAAAGTGCTGGGATTACAGACGTGAGCCACTGGTCCTGGCTTATCTTAATTCTTTTATGGACAGTGTGAAGTAGACATTTTAACTCCATGGCAGAGGTGAGAAAACTGAGGCCTAGTAGCAATGTTTTAATTGGAAACATTTATTCACAAATAGATAAGACTCTAAAAAGAAAAACGTGACTCATGCACATAGTCCCCACTTCTCAGGGGAAACTCTACAAAACATCCGAGCTGCTAGATATGAATGTCATGGGTTTATTTAATTTTCCATGTGGTTGTTTCTCCCTGGTCAGTGAACATTTCGCCGGCAAGGAAGGCGGATCTGGCCATCTGTTTTTTACAGTGCACTTTAGACTCTGGAGTTTGCAACAGCTGCTGCTCAACCATGCTGGCAGACCAGCAGTCTTGGGACCATGTTTGCATAAGGGAGAACAGAAGTATAGTAGCTGAAGGAAAACAAAAAGTTATACACAATTTAGAGATGGGATTTTCCTGGATGTATCACATGTTAATGAGTACCTCAATGATTCAGTTATGTATGAATGTATGATGTGTGTGCAAATTATTTCTGTCACCTCTAACCATCTTTAAGACCAAGCATCAACATGAGCTCACCTTAGAACCAGACCACCAAATGCCTGCATTATGAATTGTTAAAGCATCATTTAAAAAAATAATTAGTCATAACTAGTCATATTGCTCTCACTTGAAAGTATTATAATTAATAATGTTATAAAGACAAAATAGTTTTTGTATTTTGAATTGAAACTGTCATTTAAATTTAAATCATTTATCTTTATCATACCTTTTAAAATTACTATTTGAAAACACTTTATAATGTATGTAATGTATTGCTACAAAGCAAACATAACAGTTTAAAAAGTAGGGAAGATGCTTTTAAACCTTGGAGATAATGGATCCCAGATACCAAGCTTTTGGCTGTGGCTTGGCCTTTCTAAGTATTCAACAAGTCTGTCTTTTCTAAGTGTCTTTAAAGACCAGAAATACCTGTTTTCAACACACAGGGGTGCAAAATTCAGAGGAGGTCCATGAGCATCTTGGATGACCCACACACTTTTCTTTGCCAGAGATCACCATGGCGAGCAGAGGCCTGTGATCATCCTGACCAAGATTTTGGAAAGTCACTGGACACTACCCGAGGTTCCCAGGTTGAAGTCTTTCTCTCCCGCGGGGTTTCTCCTGTAGCTTTTCCCAGCCCCCTGGCCCCATTGCCGGAGCACGCAGGAGTCCGGACACACAGCGCGGGACAACCTGACTCACTTCTGCTTTCTGCACATGCTGTATGAGAGGGTCCTTTGAGAACAGAAACTGGCAGCTGAACAGGAAGCGGCGAGGAAACCAGGAGGCAACCCGAGGCCGCATGCAGTCAATTAAGCGTTCCAAAACGCCTTCTGGAAGAGCGCATTTGGAGCTCGTTTCCGGAGAAAATGAAAAATCCCTCCAGAGAAATGAAAAGGCCAGCCCTGCTCATCCAACAGCCCAAGGCTAGCCCAGATAGACCCATTCTCTTGTTGGGCTTATGACTGGGCAAGTCTCTGACCCTCACAGTCGTGGTGGTTTCTTCCTTACCCCAAAGCCTATAATGTCAAATCTATACATGAAAAAGCAAGGAACACTTAAAAGGTTGATCTGGGCAGGGCTTGCGCCTATAATCCCAGCCCTTTGGGAGGCCAAGGTGGGTGGATCGCCTGAGGTCAGGAGTTCGAGACCAGCCTGGGCAACATGGAGTAACCCTTTCTCTACTAAAAATACAAAAATTAGCTGTTCGTCGTGGCTGGTGCCTGTAATCCCAGTTACAGGCACTGTAACTGGGAGGCTGAGGCGGGAGACTCGCTTGAATCCAGGAGGCGGAGGTTGCAACTTGGCAAACTGCAGCCATGTTTGTTAAGTGGAGGAAAAGTATTAAACATATTATGAAAACGGAAATAGTAATCATGTCAAACAAATATTACATATGTAGGGGAAAAGACAGGTAACATACACAAAATAAGGTTGTTTTGATGTTCTGAATTTGAGTGTTTCCCCCATCCTTTACAATTTCCAAGTTTTATGAAACCTATTGTCTCATTTAATTAAGGCCACAGTAACCTCTATCCAAGTGATCTCCATCGTACTCTAAAACTTCTAATTAGGCAGGCGTGGTAGCTTATGCGTGAAATCCCAGCACTTTGGGAGGCCTAGTGGGAGAGGATCGCTTGAGTCCAGGAGACGGAGATGAGGCTGGGCAACATGGTGATACCCCGCCTCTGCAACAAATACAAAAATTAGTGCGGTGTGGTGGTGCGCGCATGTAGTTCCAGCTACTTGGCAGGCTTAGATGGGAGGGTTGCTTGAGGCTGGCAGGTTGTAGTGAGCTGAGATTACTCCACTGCACTCCAGCCTAAGCAACAGAGCAGACATTGTCTCAAAAAATATAGTAAAAAATAAAGAAAAGAAGGCTGGGTGTGGTGGCTCATGCCTGTGATCCCAGCACTTTGGGAGGCTGAGGCGGGTGGATCACGAGGTCAAGAGATCAAGACCATCCTGGCCAACATGGTGACACCCTACAAATACAAAAATTAGCTGGACATGGTGGCGTGTGCCTGTAGTCCCAGCTACTGGAGAGGCTGAGACAGGAGAACTGCTTGAACCCAGTAGGTGGAGGTTGCAGTGAACTGAGATCCCACCACTGCACTCCAGCCTAGCACCTGGTGACAGAGCGAGACTGTCTCAAAAAAGAAAAGAAAAAAGAAAACCTCCAATTAAAGGGTGCAGTGGCTCACCCCTGTAATCCCAGCACTTTGGGTGGATCGCTTGAGGTCAGGAGTTTGAGACCAGCCTGACCAACATGATGAAACCCTATCCCTACGAAAAATACAAAAAATTAGTTGGACGTGGCGGTGCGTGCCTATAGACCCAGGAACTCGGGAGGCTAAGGCCTCCCAGAACTCGGGAATTGCTTAAACCTGTGACGCGGAGGTTGCAGTGAGCTGAGATAGCGCCATTGCATTTCAGCTTGGGTGGCAGGAGCAAGACTGCGTCTCAAATAAATAAATAAATAAATAAAAAGAGAAGTTCCACCCTCGGGAGGCTAAGGCAGGAGACTCACTTGAACCCAGGAGGTGGAGGCTGCAGCAGGTGGAGGCTGCAGCAAGCCGAGACTGCACCACTGGACTCCAGCCTGGGTGACAGAGTGAGACTCTGTCTCAAAAAAAGAGAAATTTATGCTTGAGTTAAGACTGAAACTCAGAACCAGGAAACTGAAGCCGGTTAGGCCACATACATGTGGGTGCAGCAATAAGTGTGCTGTGGGCGAAGCAAGAGAAGGTCTGTGCAGGAAATTCACCAGCCAGTTTGTGCGCAGCCGTCACAGCCAGCAGGAAGAAGGTGCCTCCTGTGATACAAAATAGAGGGGTGGTCCTCTATTCAGGAAACAGGGACAGAGACGCAGACCCGATAAAGATCCATTTCTTATTAAATGTTCTCAACGGATTATTTACATTTTTTCTACAAAAGTAAAATTTAGGTCGGGTGCGGTGGTCACGCCTCTAATCTTAGCTCTTTGGTAGGTCGAGGAGGGCGGATTACGAGGTCAGGAGTTCGAGACCAGCCTGGTCAATACGGTGAAACCCCGTCTCTACTAAAAATACAAAAATTAGCCAGGCGTGGTGGCAATAGCCTGTGATCTCAGCTGAGGCAGGAGAATCGCTTGAACCCGGGAGGCCGAGGTTGCAGTGAGCCGAAATCGCGCCACTGCACTCCAGCCTGGGCGACAGACCGAGGCTCCGTCTGGGGAGGGAGGAGGGTGGAAAGTAAAATTTAAATCTGAATACATTTGATGATTATGGAATTTGAGCATTCACGTATGCTTGTGACCTGGTTATTCTCCTACGCTTTAGCGGTCGCCCTGATCCTCATGCGCTCCCCGCCGCTCCCACATACTCTGTTTTCACCGGATGGGCGGCCACAGTTCTCGGCTAAGAGGAACTCAGTGTTTCTGTTTACCCCGAGAACAAGTGAGTAGGAGGGGAAATAAGGACCCGCCCCTCAGCTGTTTTGCAATCGGGGGCGGAGTCCGGGGTACACAGCCCATACTGTAGGGTAACCTGAGCGGGAGAAGCTTTTGCTCCTGATCTCAGACAGCCTTTTGCACGGAAAAGGTTTCCTAAAAGTGGGGTTCCTTCTCCAACTACACTAGCATCCTTAAAATAGGGGCTCTCCAGTGAGCAAGTGCGGCGCGGGCCACTGAGCCACTGAGAATTCCACCCCGCCCCCACCTCGGGCAAGTCTGCGAAGGCAGGGCCCCTAGGGGAAAGAGCCTCTCCCAGATTTTAGGGATCAAGGGGACAGGGCTCAGACGCCCGCAGTGGGTTGGTAGGGATGGGGGAGGATGATGAGGTTGGGATGAGGAAGTGGTGCCAAAAGAAAGGCAAACAAGGCGGGGCGCAGTGGCGCATGCCTGTAATCCCAGCACTTTGGGAGGCCGAGGTGGGCGGATCACAAGGTCTAGAGATGACACCATCCTGGCCAACATGGTGAAACACGGTCTCTACTAAAAATACAAAAATTAGCATACAAGAATTAGCTGGAGGTGGTGGCTCGCGCCTGCGGTCCCAGCTACTCGGGAGGCTGAGGCAGGAGAATTGCTTGAATCCGGGAAGTGGAGGTTGCTATGAGCTGAGATTGCCCCACTGCACTTTAGCCTGGTGACAGAGTGAGACTCGATCTCAAAAAAAAAAAAAAAAAAGGCAAACCAAATCAAACTTTCCTCTTTCCATCCCTGTCCTTCTCTTTGCAATTCCACCTGGGTGGCTGAAGGCAGACCCCAACACCGGAGCCATCCTTGCTGGCTCCTTTCGTCCTGCTCTGTGGGGAAGCAAGTGAAGAAAAACGCAGAAGGAAAGGCAAGTGAAACAACCTCTGAAGACCCGCTGGGGTCATGCAGGCAAAATTCCCAGCCTGCCTTTGAGGAGGAGCTCTATTTCCATTTATAAGGGAGCCACTTTATGCAAGATTAGGGGCTGGGAAATGGTCCTTCCTGCCTCAAAAATTTCAAAGACTTCCCTGGAGGGTGTCCAAAGACAGACAAGAAAGGGGCCAGTGCCCTGAAGAAAGTCAGGGAGCCCAGGGGAGTGTGAACCCTGAATATCTGAGACAGCTCTCAGCTAATTTAGAAAGTTTATGTTGCCAAGGCTGAGGACATGGGCCGGTGACACAGCCTCAGTGGTCAGAGCACAGCTTGGTTTTATACATTTTAGGGAGACAGGAGACATAAATCAACATATGTAAGATGAACACTGGTTCGGTCTGGGAAGGTGGGACAACTCAAAGCAAAGGCAGAACAACAAATTGGGGAGAGGCTTCCAGTTCATAGTTAGATAAGAGACAAATGGTTGCATTCTTTTGAGTTTCTGATTAGCCTCTCCAAAGGAAGCAGTCAGATATGTATTTATCTCAGTGAGCAGAGGGATGCCTGAATAGAATGAGAGGTAGGTTTGCCTAAGCAGCTCCCAGCTTGACTTTTCTCTTAGTGATTTTGAGCTTAGTGATTTTGGGGCCCCAAGATTTATTTTCCTTTCACAGGTGTCTCCAGTTCAGTTCAGACTGAACCTGAGTGGGTGTAGGAATGTGCTCCAGGCTGGAGTGCAGTGGCATGATCTTGGCTCACCACAACCTCTGGCTTCTAGGCTTAGGAGATCCTCCAACCTCAGCCTCCTGAGTAGCTGGGATTACAGGTACGCACCACCATGCCCAGCTAATTTTGTATTTTTAGTAGAGATGGAGTTTTGCCCTGTTGCCCAGGCTGGTCTAGAACTCCTGAACTCAAGTGATCCACCCACCTCAGCCTCCTAAAGTGCTGGGAATACAGGTGTCAGCCACTGTGCCCGGTCAAATTCTATGTCTTCTAAAAAATTAAGAGAAGAAATGAGTAAAATATGCTTAATAGGCCGGGCGTGGTGGCTCACACCTGTAATCCAAGCACTTTGGAGGCCAAGGTTGGCGGATCACCTGAGATTGGGAGTTCAAGACCAGCCTGACCAACATGGTGAAACCCCATCTTTAAAAAAAAGAAAAAAATATATATGCTTAATAAATTTTTTCGTATTAAACTTATTTAGTATTTCTGATACTCTTGATTTGTTCTTGTGGATTGGACTTACTATCTGATGTGGTTCCTTTGTTTCAGTTTAACTCCATCTTTTCCCTGTCCTTTGTACCATTATTGTCATATGTGTGTGAGTGCATATATACACACACATCATCTTTAGATGTTACAAGTCCAATGCTGTAATTTTATAATTGTTGTTTTATGTAATTTCTTTTAAAACAGTTAAGAAATGAAAAGGAGCCAGGCATGGTGATGTGCATCTGTAGTCTCAGCTACTCAGGAGGCTGAGGTGAGAGGATCACTTGAGTCCAGGATTTGAGGCTGCAGTGAGCTATGGTCACACCACTGCACTCTAGCCTGGGTGAGAGAGTGAGAGCTCGTCTCTCAAA